CCAGTGGGGCCTCCCTCTACCCTCCATTGCCCCACTGCTCAGATTGGCCAGAGTCAGAGAGGCGGTCTATTAAAAAAAGAACGGGTGTTGCCTCAGAAGTGGGGGGTAGTCTTATACAGCGAATATAGGCCTAAACATATGTTTTAACTGTAAAATTAGGGGGTCGTCTTATATGCCGGAAAATACGGTAGTGGGTAGGCAGTTCCTCCTCTTGGGTTTGGAGCCACTGGACAGTGTGGGTTTATGCCGACCAGCAGGGCCAGCAGAAGAGCAGAGTATCTCTGTGTGGATATTAACACTTCGGTGGGTGGTTTACTTCTTGTTTCAAATAAAGTAACAACTCTTTCCTTTTGAGGGGCTTTTAGCTCATCCCAAATTCTTAGCCTGAAAAAGTGTCAGGTTGTTCTGGTATTTATGTTGTGCTTTCTAAAGCTACATGTTTTTTTATCCATGTACACACACGTGTGAGTTTGGTATGGCGTCTGACTCTGGGCGGACCTCAGTATTCTCTGCCCTTGCCCCCACTTCCTTGGTGAGGGATTCCGAATGGCACATTCCTGTCACCCTCCACTCCTGGGAAGAATCCATCAGGGTAAATAGTTTGGGGTGTGGACCCTAGGTTTGCAGTCGTGGCTCACTGAGTATGCATCCCTGTTCCCCCAGGATACTTGGAGCGCCTCTCCGTGCTGACATGATGACCGTGTGCAGGCCGGCCAAAGGCAGCCACAGCCAGACTGAAAATCTGAGCTGCAAACTGGCTGACAAGTAAGAACTTTTCTCCCCCCAAGAGTGAAGAAGTTGGCCCGGACTCTCAGTCTCCTTCCTTTCACTGTTGCCTTTCCCTGTTCTCTAACCCCACTTCCTTAAACTAAGGAGGTGTTCTTTACTGAGTCATTGTGAGGAGCCTCCTGTCAGTCATCTCCATGCGCTGCACTCAGTGAAGAACCCGAGACCAAAGTGGTCAAAGGTCTGACGAGCATCCAGTGTTTTGAGAGGATGATCCCAGGGCCATTCCAGGCAATGTCCCCAGTTACACATTCAGTCCAGGGTTTATTTTTCTCACTACTGGAATGCATAGGTATTGTAAATATCAGTGAGCTCTAAGTTTTTGCCTCTGCATCTGGCTACATAGCATCTTTACCCATCTTATATCAGCAGGATTGTTTTCTCCCCAGATGTTTTCCTCAAAGGAGTTGGCAACATCTGAGCTTTTCACAGCTGAGGAACCCCTCCTGGGGCCATAGACTCCTGGAAACAGGAACTAGAGAAGTCCTTGGTGTGGCAACCATGTGAAGAAGGCACTTTGCCTTTTGTTTCATCATCCTTGCTGCTGTTGCTGGAGCTTTGTCACTCAGCGTGGGCTTCCAGCAAGGCATCCTTTTTCAGTTTTTCGATAGGGTCTCAGTTATTGTGAAGTCATGCCAAACGTTTGGGACCTTAGACAATAACTTAAATAACATTAGTTACCACTTATTAATATCAAGATTTATAATGTATGTACTCTGGCTCATTCATTCATTCATTTAATAAATATTTAATGACTACCAATTATGTACTGGGCACAGCAAATGAGATAAATTAGACCTGTGTACTCCTTAAGTTCCAGTCTAGACAAAGGAGATAGGGTTATTACTTTAAGATGAAAAATAAAAAAATGGAACCAAGATTCCATCCCAGGTCCCTTCTACTCTAAAACCATGTATTTATCTACTGTTGTTATTGTTTAACAGAGTCCTGGCCAAATAGCTCAGTTGGTTAGAAAATCATCCCAATGCGCCAAGGTTGTAGGTTCAATTTCTGGTCCAGTTACATACAAGAATCAACCAATGGCCTTAACCAGTTTGGCTCAGTGGATAGAGCATCAGCCTACGGACTGAAAGGTCCCAGGTTTGATTCCTTCCAGTCAAGGGCACGTAACTTGGCTGCAGGCACATCCCCAGTATGAGGTGTGCAGGAGGCAGCTGATCAATGTTTCTCTCTCATTGATGTTTCTGACTCTCTGTCCCTCTCCCTCTCTGTAAAAAAATCAATAAAATATATATTTTTAAAAAGAATCAACTAATGAATGTATAAATAAGTGCAACGACAAATCAATGTCTCTCTCTGTCTCTCTCTCTCTTTCTCCCTCTTTCCCTCCCTCCCTCTTCCTTACCCTTCTCTCAAATCAATAAATCAAAACTTTTCAGTGTTGTTTAACAATATATGTGATATTAGTGATTAAATATTTGTCACTAAACATGCACTAACCTGAACTATGTTTTTATGTTTTTTTTTCTATTTCTTCATCTCACTTCTGGCGCTAATGAGAGCAATGATTTTAACTTTTGCCTTTGGAATTCTCAGTAAAATATCAACAAAATTTTTCTGATTCCAATTCTGACTAAAATCTGAATTCATACCAATGTCCTCAGTGGTAACAGAATAATTAAAAAATGTCTTTCTTTTCTGTAAGCACTCTGTTATTTATGCTAATTGTTTATTTAAATAAGGAATTCTGCTTTGGTAGCCATATTTAACATGAAAATGTGTTTGCAATTTCACAAGTTTCTAATTTATATTGAGCAACCAAGAATAGCAACACAATTTACGAGCTATTGTTCCATAGGAAGAAGTCTTTACATAAACAACCATTAGTCTCTGGAATAGAAAGCTAAATAGAAATAGAGTATATGAAGTTGGTAATAATTCATCCCTCATGTAAACCTGACTGGGGTTCCAGAATCCCTACACAGCTACATCTATGTTTCACAAAATGTGCACCAGCAAGTAGGCCCATGCATGTTTGCTAATCTTGACACATCTATAGTCACTGTGTTCAGGCATGATCTATGTTGGTGGAAGACAGTTTCACATTTCAAAGCACAGATACTCCCATTCTCATTAGACTAGCTTAAAAATGTCTTTCTGTTTTTTTGTTTTTTTAAAAAATATTTATTTAAATTTATTTATTGATTAAGGTGTTACATATGTGTCCTTATTCCCCCATTACTCCCCCTTTCAATACCTTCCACTCATGCCCTCACCCTCCTGTTGCCTCCTGTGTCCATATGCACGCGCCGAAACCGGTTTGGCTCAGTGGATAGAGCGTTGGCCTGCGGACTGAAGGGTCCTGGGTTTGATTCCAGTCAAGGGCATGTACCTTGGTTGCGGGCACATCCCCAGTAGGAGGTGTGCAAGAGGCAACTGATCAATATTTTTCTCTCATCGATGTTTCTAACTATTCCTCTCTCTTCCTCTCTGTAAAAAATCAATAAAATATATATATATATTAAAAAGCTTATATGCATGCATACAAGTCCTTTGGTTGATCTCTCTCCCTTACCCCCACTCTCCCCTACCTTCCCTCTGAAGTCTGATGGTCTGATCGATTTTTCTCTGTCTCTGGGTCTGTTTTTGTTCATCAGTTTATGTTCATTATATTCCACAAATGAATGAAATCATGTGATATTTATCTTTCTCTGACTGGCTTATTTCACTTAGCATAATGCTTTCCAGTTCCATTCATGCTGATGCAAATGGTAAGAATTCCTTCTTTTTTACCGCAGCATAGTATTCCATTGTGTAGATGTACCACAGTTTTTTAATCCAGTCATCTGCTGATGGGCACTTAGGCTGTTTCCAAATCTTAGCTATTGTAAATTGTGCTGATATGATTAGTGTTTCTAGTTTCTTGGGATATCTTCCTAGAAGTGGGATCACTGGGTCAAATGGGAATTCCATGTTTAGTTTTTTGAGGAAACTCCATACTGTTTTCCACAGTGACTGTACCAGTCAGCACTCCCACCAGCAGTACACAAGGGTTCCTTTTTCTCTTCATCCTCGCTAGCACTTGTCATTTGTTGATTTGCTGATGATAGCCTCTGGTTTTCTTTCAATAAATTTTCAACATCTTCATGACACTAATCTCCTAAGATCACATTTGGAGGCATGTATCTTCTGTACCTTCTGAAACGTGAGCTCTACTAGAGTGGTCTCTCCACGATGACAGGGATGTATCATATGTACTTTCTGGGGTGTTGGGAATGTCTATTCCATCCGATTAGAGTACCATTAGCCAGATGTGGTTACTGAGTCCTCAACATATGGCTGGTGCAGCTGGGGAACTGAATTTAATTTAACTTAAAATAGCCACATATGGCTAGTGGCCATTATATTGGACAGTGCAGATCTAGGCCACCCATGAGATCCGGATCTGCTTATTGATTCACTCATTTATGCAGCAAAGATTTATTGGCCTTCCTACTCTGCTAAGTGTTGTTCTAGGTGCTAGGGATGTATCAGTAGCCGAAACAGACCAAATTCAATATGAAACAACAATCCCTGTCATCGTGGAGAGACCACTCCAGTAGAGCTCACATTTCTAAAGTAGGTTTAACTCAAATGCAGCTAATCATTATGTCTTCACCGATTCAAATCAAGACAACTTATCCAGCCCAGGATTAGCAAAAGTTTTGTAACTCATGGTGTTGTTTTAATTGTGAATAATTATTACAAAGATCGATCCATTGAAAACAGAAGTAGAGGAAATTTAGATTATATACTCTCTTCTTCTATTTTTATCAGGGGGAAAAAAGCTCATAATAATGGTAACCACCACATCTTGTACATTCATGGCATGCTAGATGCTTTATGTGGGCTAGTTCATTCAGTGTTTACAGTCACCCTGTTATATATGTATCATTATCACTATTATTCCTATTTCACAGACGGGGACATTGAGATTTGGAGAAGTTAAGCATCTTGCCCAAGGTTACATCTATCAATAGCTCAGTAGTTGAATTAGGATTTAAACCCAAGTCTACTGGATTCCAAATCCAATAGCTCCATGGTATCTTCCCCAAGAAAAATATTATGTGATTTTTTTTTTTAGATGGTGGTTTCAATGTTTGTGATTTGCAGCCAGCATCTAATATATCTAAGTTCTAGGAAATCTCTGTGACCAGCCAAGAACAATAACGTGGCTCCTGAGTCCTCACCCAGTGTTTATCTTTCTTGTTCAGGGTCCAGGGGGAAGGTCCAAAGGCTGGGGAAGATCCTCAAAGGCAGCCGTGTAGGTCCTCCAATCCTTTCCTAAAGACGGATCAGGACTCACCCCTTCAAAGAAGCCCGTTGGAAAACCTCAATAACCTGAAGCTAAAGTTAAGAGTAGACTGTTTTCAGCAGAACATGTTCAACTCAAATATGATCATCAGTGACCCAGCTTCAGGTCTCAATGCTAAAGAAGCCAGCAAGCCTGGCAGGAGGCAGCTCAGCGGTGTTCAGAACCTCTGTCCTGCCCGAGGCAGAGCCGGGCACAAGTCCCTCAGCATAAAGGACAAGATATCAGAATGGGAAGGGAAAAGGGAGTCGCCCACTCCTGCACCTGGCAGGAAAGCAAATGGGCAAGAGGATTACCTGGCATCCTGCATAACGGACAGGAGATGTGATGATGGTGTGATGACTCAGGTCACAGCAGCTGAGAACGGAACGAGGCTGGAAAGAGAGAGCAAAGAGAATGAGAGGAATAAGGAGAGAGTGGAAGTCGTGAGACAGAATGCAGAGCGGAGGCTAGACCAGCCAGCCAGGGAGTTGTCTCCGAGCATGGGCAAAGGCCTAGAGCTGAAGCTTAGCAAACAGCGCTTTCAGAATGATAGCCTGTCTGTGCTGGTGCAGGTCAAGAAACTTGAGCAGGCTCTGAAGGATGGCGTGGCAGGGCTGGATCTCCAGTTACCAGGGACTTGTTATTCCCCACATTGTGTGCCGGACAAGGAAGGGCCCAGCCTAACAGGGAACCGTGGATGTGGGAGTGGCTCAGAATTCAGGTCCTACCAGTTGGACCTGGAAGCCAGGCAGCCCACCCCTGAGGTTGCAGAGGAATGGAGAGGTACCTACGGGAAATCCTGTGATCAGAGTCGAGAGAGTGTATACAGAGGCTCCTCCTCCAAACACTTCATCAACCCCCTGCCCAAACCCCGGAGAACGTTCATGCATGATGGAGAAGGGGACAAGGATGGGACCCCAGGCATCAGCTTCAGGAAAGATCGCCGGAACCTGCCCCCTCTGCCTACTCTTCCTCCCCCACCCCTGCCCTCCTCGCCACCACCTTCCTCTGTGAATAGAAGACTGTGGAATGGGAGACCAAAGCCCAGTGCTGACCACAGGTAGGTGATGGCGACGGTCTGCTCCAGTAGTTCATATCGCATCACAGCTGCTGCTCAGTCTACTTATTTGTTGTTAGTAAACTGATAGATCTTGTAGTTAGTCGAGACTGTTTATAACTTGAGGTATTTTATTGACTAAACGTGGACACGTGATAACTGATGCATGTGTTTTGTCTTTGTTTTACCCTTTGGATGTGATGAGTACTTGTGATTCAGACAGTAACCAAGCATTCAATGAATATTTGTTTTATCCCTGGCATCTACTAATTGCTGCTAACTGGTGCTCTATTTTTTACTATCATCCCTACTAGTTCTTGGTACTTTCTGTCTTTCCTGGTTCTTCCTTTCATGTTTTGTCTTGGTATGGGCTCCAGACACACACTGCCTGGGTCTACCCTGGCCCCATCATGGTCATTCTCTATGACCTTGAACTTAACCTCTTGAAGCCTCAGGTTCCTCATTTATACATAGATGCACACACTGTGAATATTTTATAATATTAAATTAGCACATTAGGTAATAAAGCCTGTGAATGCTTGAAAATAAAATCTGTGCTTTGGATTCAGTTTCTTCTCTGCTTTGAAACTTAATTTCTAGTCCATTTCTTATGGCGGGGTCTCTCTTTTCCACATCCAGCACAGAAAGAGAGATGATTCAGTTCTTCAAGTAGAGGGGCTTGGGATTGAGAAATAAAAGAAAGAGACAAGACACAGAGATAGAAGGAAAAAGCTGGGACTGGGTAGACAGCTGTCCTCTTCTGATGGAGAGACAGTGACCCAGAGCCATGCAGCGAGTTTATTTTATACCCCCACATACCAGGGAGTTTCCCTAAAAGTCAAGACAAAGGAGATTATTTGCATTCATGAGTGGGCCAGAGTTCTATTCATTGCTTGACTGGATTTACATATCAAAGACACCTACGCAAAGATAAGAGTCAAAGCTGAGAACACATCTGTCTTCTCCCCCCTCCTCCCCATTTTTTTTTACATCTGCCTTTTGGCAAAGCATGTTTCCAGAGCATGGCTTTGCCAGCGCCACTGGGTTCAGCTGACAATAATTAAAGAATGCCCATGTGCCTTCCCAGGTGCTCTCTACATTTCTGTAATGTGCTCATTGGTTGATACCCACTAAAATGAAAACCAGCTTTAGAGCAGAACTCCTCAGACAGTTGTCTACTTATAGTCATCACTTCTTCACCTCCTATTTTTTTCTTTGACCCACTGCAGTTGGGCTTTTGCCACTTATTCTGAGACTGCTCTTGACCAAGGCCATAAACAACCTCCATCTTGCTACAGTTCTCTGTTCTTGTCATGGACCAAGTCTCTTGGCAGTTAAGGAACAGCTGAGGTGCTACATCTTGAAACACTGTATTCACTTGGCTTCTAGGCCACCCACTTTCCTGGTAGTCCTATTTCACTGGCTGTTACTTTTCATAAGTGTCAGAACACCCTGTCCCCCTCCATCCTCACCACCAACGAATCCATACCTCATCCTGATCAGAACATCAGAACAGAAACTTCTGTCCATCTATACTCCCTAAATGATCTCACCCAGTCTCATGGCTTTAAATGTCAGTCACATGCTTATGACTCCCAACTAAGTATCTCCAGCCCCAACTCTCTCACCCAGCTTCAGATTAGATTAGTCATTCCTATTTGGGTCTCCATTTGGTTAGCTAATAGTTTGGACTTAATACTGTGTCCAAACCTAAATTCTCAGTCCAGGCCATGGCAAACCACCTCCTCTCAAAATAATCCCCATTTTATTAAATGGTAACTATCCTTCATTTTGCTTAGGCCAGAAACCTAGGGGCCATCTCTGAGTCTTCCCTTTTTCACGTACCTCCATCTAATCATCAGCAAGTCCTTTGGTTCTAGTTTTAAATGTTATCTGGAATTTGATTACACCTCCTCCACTGCTACGACCTTACTCATCTTGGATCCACCACTACCCCCAATATATTCCTTTCTCAGCCGCTATGTGAAATTATCTAGAAATATAGATTAGACCATGTCACTCCCCAACCCAATGGTCTGTCAGGTAGGATTCTCTTGGCTGCCAAAACATAAATTTTTTTAATTTAAATTCTTATTGTTGAAAGTATTACATGTGTCTCCTTTCTCCCCTATTGACTTCTCCCCAGATGCTCCCCACTTAAAACATAATTTCTTATGTTCTCTTCCAGGGAAAAAGGTTTGTATATTCTAGAATTTTATATAAATTTATAGTATATAAAAATTATGTCTTTTAAAAGTGAATGCATACTATATATTCTTCTTTCTATACTTTTTATTACTTACAATATCATTGAGATCTTTCCATCTTACCACCTTCCTTTTTTTTCTTCCACGTTTCTATAACCACCACATTCTTTACTTCTTGTGGATAGATAATTTTTTATTTAGCTGTTCCCCTACTGATGGACACTTGAGTGGTTTCCAGTTTACAAATAATGCTGTGATGAGCAGTATATAGCATTAGAGAAGACTCTAGCGCCAGAGTACTTCTAGCTCTGCCCCTTGATAGCTGTGTAACATTGGACAAGCCACTAAATTTGTTTCGGCCTCATTTTACTTAAAATGGTGATAATTAGCCCTAGCCAGTTTGGCTCAGCAGATAGAGCATCGGCCTGTGGACCAAAGGGTCCAGGTTCAATTCCAGTCAAGGGCATATTCCTTGGTTGTGGGCACATCCCCAGTTGGAGGTGTGCAGAGGCAGCTGATTGATGTTTCTCTCTCATCAATGTTTCTAACTCTATCCTTCTCCCTTCCTGTCTGTGAAAAATCAATAAAATATATATTTTAAATTTAAAAAAAACTAACATTTTGTGTGAGTGAGATTTGATAGTGCTATATAGAACATTTAGAAAAATAGATGCAAGAATAGTTAAGACATTTTTTTAAAAAGGAGAATAAGAAAATAAATAAGAGGTTTATTTTTATTAAAAGGGAGGCCAAATGATCATTTTTTTTTTCATGACATGATAGAATATGAAGAATGTCTAGGAGAACCAACTGACTCATTATCAGCAACAATAAGAAATTTCTGTAAATTCAACTAGATACTAAAATATATTAATATATTAAATAATTAAAATATTTGGTATTGGAAAAGAAACAGATACCCTGGTTAATTAATCAAAAGAGAGCCAGAAAACAATACCAGGTAACATTTATTGAGCCTTTACTATATCCCAGGCTTTGTTTTATAATTTACAGATATTTATTTATCTTCACAACTTATGAAGTGGATATTATAATTACCACCATTTTATTTATTTGTTAATTATTATTATTTGTTGTTGTTAATCCTCACTGGAGGATATTTTTCCATTGATTTTTAGGGAGAGTGAAAGAGAAAGGGAAAGACAGAGAGAAACACATTGATTGCCTCTTGCATGAGCCCTGACCAGGGCCCAGGCTAGAGAGGAGCCTGCAACCAAGGTACACTTCCCCACCCAGAATCGAACCTGGGACCTCTCAGTCTACAGGCCGATGCTCTATCCACTGAGCCAAACCAGTTAGGGCTGGTTTTTTTTGTTTGTTTTTTTAATTTAAAAAAATTTAAATTACAGTTGACATACAATATTGTATTAGTTTCAGGTGTGCAACCTAGTGATTATTTTTATAACTTATGAGGTAACCACCCTGGTAAGTTTACTACCCACTTGAAAATTATATAATTGGTTTTTAATTGTGATTCTTTTTTTTTTCTTTTTTTTAAAATATATTTTATTGATTTTGTACAGAGGGGAAGGGAGAGAGATAGAGAGTTAGAAACATCGATGAGAGAGAGTCACCGATCAGCCGCCTCTTGCACACCCCCTACTGGGGATGTGCCCGCAACCAAGGTACATGCCCTTGACCGGAATCGAACCCGGGACCTTTCAGTCCCCAAGCCGACGCTCTATCCATTGAGCCAAACCGGTCTCGGCTAATTGTGATTCTTAATATTTGCCAAGTTTATTCCTAAGCATTTTATTTTCTTGTTGCCATTGTTAATATAATCTTTTTTCTTATTATATCAGTTTCATATTTAAGAAAATTATTTATTTTGTGTATTACTCCTCAATTTTAATTTTATTTTTTAAATATATTTCTTTATTGATTTCAGAGAGGAAGGAAGAAGGAGAGATAGGAACATCAGTGATGAGAGAGAATTATTAATTGGCCACCTCCCACATGCCCACCACTAGGGATGGAGCCCACAACCCAGGCATGTGCCCCTGGCCAGAATCAAACCCGGGACCCTTCAGTCTAAAGGCCGATGCTCTATCCACTGAGCCAAACTGGCCAGGGCTGTATATTACCGTTTTAAAAGATACCTTAAAATTTTTTTTTATTGTTTCTAATAGTTTGTCAGTTGATTCTCTTAGACTTTCTATGTATATAATCATACTAGTATCCTGCACATGAATCTGTGCACCAGTAGGTCTCTTACTCCCTCCTGTAGCTCTCTGCTGCCCCCTTTTTGCCCCACCCTCCTGCAGATCCGTGATCTAGTCATTAGGCAGTCGGTCATTACGCCTCAGGGCATAATGGGTAATTAGCATATTCCTCTCTTATTATATAGGATTGTCTGTAAAGAATTATTGTTTTACTTTTTTTCAAAAAATTTATACCTCCAAATTCTTTCTCTTACCTCATTATCCTGGCTAATACTTTCACAGCAAATTAAATAATAGTGCTGATAGGAATGGGCGGGCTTATTTAATGGTAACGTTTCTAGTATTCTACTCTCAAACACTCTTGTTTGAGGTGTGTTTTTATGTTATCAAGGTAATGTTCATTTATATTTCTTATTTTACTAAGAGTTTTAAAAATTACATTTCAACAACTTCATACAATCATATGGTTCTTCTCCCTTGACTATTAATAGTGAATTTATATGTAATACTAACCCATCCTTAGATTTTTGGGATGAACTCTTATTTGGTCTTGGTTTATTATTATTGTTTTTTTAAATATATTTTATTGATTTTTTTTTTACAGAGAGGAAGG